CCTAATTTCTTCAGTTACTGTGACCAGCAATGGCCAAATGTACCATTAAAACATCCATAGATGGCAGCAGCCACAGATACCATGTGGGATGAGTGGTCCAGGGACTGTTTCCTTTATTCCGTCTTCATAGAATCATAGAACAGTTATGGTTGGAAAGGACCTGAAGATCATCAAGTTCCATCCCCCTGCCATGCGCAGGGACACCTCACGCTAAACCATCTCACCCAAGGCTTCGTCCAACCTGGCCTTGAACACTGCCAGGGATGGAGCATTCACAACTTCCTTGGGCAACCCATTCCAGTGCCTCACCACCCTCACAGGAAAGAATTTCCTCCTTATATCCAATCTAAACTTCCCCTGTTTAAGTTTTAACCCGTTACCCCTTGTCCTGTCACTACAGTCTCTAATGGAGTCCCTCTCCAGCATCCCTATAGCCCCCCTTCAGATACTGGAAGGCTGCTATGAGGTCTCCACGCAGCCTTCTCTTCTCCAGCCTGAACAGCCCCAACTTTCTCAGCCTGTCTTCATACGGGAGGTGCTCCAGTCCCCTGATCATCCTCGTGGCCCTCCTCTGGACTTGTTCCAACAGTTCCATATCCTTTTAATGTTGAGGACACCAGAACTGCACACAATACTCCAGGTGAGGTCTCACGAGAGCAGAGTAGAGGGGCAGGATCACCTCCTTCAACCTGCTGATCACGCTCCTTTTGATGCAGCCCAGGATACGGTTGGCTTTCTGGGCTGTGAGCACACACACTGAAGCCAGCTCATGTTCATTTTCTCTTCGACCAGCACCCCCAAGTCCTTCTCTGCAGGGCTGCTCTCAATCTTTTCTCTGCCCAACCTGTAGCTGTGCCTGGGATTGCTCCGGCAAAGAAGAGGTGTCATGAAGAGGTGTCCCTCACTTTCTTCTCGTACATAATCTCACCCCTCAAAATTGGACCCCAGCCAATGTATTTGCTCCACACGAGTAAGGGGACGTAAACCTATACTCCCATTTACCTCTCCCATCCCTGCAAACTGTCAGTCATATTCCTTCACTGTATTTTTTCTACAAAAATGCACATTAAGCCTATGTTTGGTTTGTGTCAAAATATACTTGCAGATGCTTGATAAAAGTTTGTAGCCTTGGTACTGTTCTCTCTGTATTGCAACTATTTACATGTTAAGATGCCCATGTGTGAGTATTGCAAAATGCCTGAATTAGAGATTATGGGACTTGTTATCCCCTGCTTTTGGTGGTCATTTAGGAAGGCAGGCTTGGGAGACCTGGCTGACCACTAAACCTGTACTTTCTTCCTCACCCAGGTTTTTGCTCAGCTCCCAGGAGTGTTTCTGATCTGGGCAACCAGTTATTGACTTAAATGTCTGCCTTGCTTGAATATCCAAGTATTTCAAAGCTGTGGTATTCTGGCTGCTTATTACGCACAAGTGTGTTCAAAATGCTACCTGGCTGGAGAAGAGATCGATGCTTCCTTCTCAGTGGGGGTCCCTGCTGCTGCAAGAACTGTCACAAAGGAAAAATGTGTGGGTCTGTGGCTTTTAGTCTCTTATGGACAGAACCATCTCTTACAAAGCCTTGCTTTGGCCATTTTCCAACTGGGATAGGTTAGAAAAGTCTGGCAGTGGCTTCCATGAGTCTTTCATGTTTGACAGACTGGGCCAGGTGGACCATTTCACTCAGCAGTTCATGCGTTTTGCCAGCCAACTTCTTTTCTATGCTTAATGACTTCTGCAGCACATTCTGGGCAGCTCCAGTTAATCTCATCCTTTCATCCTCCTGTGATCTCGCTCAGTTTCCTGGAGAATCAAGTGTGAAGGTGCAGTTGGCCTCTTCTATACTCCAAGCCCTCAGGCTGCCAGTGCTGGAAGGGGGAGCACAAGGTAGCTTATGCCATAGTCTTGAGTGGCTACATGACTGGAGAAGTACCTGTCCTTAGCAGATCAGTCCTCCACTGGGTAAGTCTTGATAGCATTGATATTTCAATACAGATTTTAAATTGTAAGCAATTTAAATTGGGCAGCTACTTTATTTCTTATGTAAATAGGATATAGAATATACAGATAGCTCATTTAGTGTCTACTGCTGTATTGGCATATGCAGATAACTGCTTGTCGTGGTTTAAACCCAGTCAGGTAACTCGTTCACTCACTTCCCCCCTTCTTTCCTTCCCCCTACTCCTAGAGGGATGGAGAGGAGAATCGAAAAGAATGCAAATCCCCCAGGTTGAGACAAGAACAGTTTAGGAACTAAGGTATAACAGAGATCACTACTGCTACCACCAATAATAACAATGATAAAGGAAATAACAAGGGAAGAGAACACAACACCTCAGCACCAGCCAACCGATAACTCTGCCCCCCAGCCCGACCAAGCTCTGACCCATACCTCCTCCAACCCTGCAGACTACCACCCCTTCCGGCTAACTCCCAGTTACATCCTTGACATGACGTGCTGTGGTATGGAATACCTCTTTGGTCAGTTTGGGTCAGGTGTCCTGTCTCTGCTTCCTCCTGGCTTCCCCTCCTCCCTGGCAGAGCATGAGGCTCACAAGGTCCTTGGCCAAACCAAAACATCAGTGTTATCAGCTCTGTTCCCAAGCCAAAAGTCAAAACACTGCACTGCACCAGCTACCAAGAAGGAGAAAAATGACTGCTGCTGCTGCTGAACCTAGGACACTGCTTCATGTGCATATGTGTTAACAGTAACCAAATATGAAAATTGAACAGTCATGCAGCACTCGGTGTTTTCCCTCATTTTAGGAAATCTGGCCTGCTTGATTTGGGCAATGTATTACTATTATTTTTTTAATATCTGTACAATATTTACTGAATTCATAAGTCAAAATAAGAATTCAGTTTTCACAAATTGAAGCACACTTACCATTTCTGTGGGCTTATCATGCTTGCGTGTAATAGAAAATTCGCAAGCTGAATAACTTATTTTGAGAGAGAAGAGCATTCAGAAAGATGTCTAACAGAGAGAATACATCAGATGGAAAAGTCCTCAATATGCTGTAATAATTACAAGCTCCTTTTAATAAAATTTATCAATGGGCATTTTCAGATGTGGTTTAAGATACTCACTCGGAGAATTTAATAAGCTAAAGTCTATAAACACTCCATCTAGGGACTAGAATCATTATTTGAACTACCTTTAAAAGTTCTGCCATTTATTCAATAGTCTATAATGGGCTTTATGAGCTGCAGGGATTCATTATGCAAATACCTATTTAAGATTTGTGTGGACCACAATTAAAAGCATAGCTGGATAAAATGTGTTAGTTTTTACATGCCCAGTAGACAGACTCCAAATTGAAGTATCACCACTTCTTCAAATTAGTTTTGTACCAAAGAAACTTGAGAAAATTACATTTTCCATTATGAATACCTGTGTTGCCTTACTTTCCCTCTCTTATTTTATTTCCAAGCCTAACAGTTAAGGTCTACCATTAAATCAGGACAGAGAATGAGACTTGCATGTCATTGTTTAGGGCATGGTCTTACAAGTCTGTTTTGCCAGCATCTTCAATAGGGTTATATCTTGAAATGCATGTATGTGTATAAACTTAAAATGGCCAGGTTTTATGAGATATTTTTAAAGCAGTAACTTGCCAAGCCTGGGGTGTCAGTAAATTATCTCCTTGAATCCTTAGGAAACTGGACTGGTGGCAAGGGTTAACTCTGCAAATGCCAGATGTTAACAAATACTTGCCTTCATTCTTCCTTTTGTCCACAATTGGAGCATTTCATTTGCCTGGAGTATGATCTGATCAAAAGAGGAATACAAAGGAGTGCTGTCCCCTTCCGCTGTTTTTCATGGAAGCTGAGTGTACAGAGTCTCCTCTGACATTGACTATAAAAGACTTCAGGCTTTCTCTGCCTTGCATTTGCCATCAGTGAGGGGAGGCATTTTCTGTCACATGTGAGGTGCAAATAACGGCTGCAAGAGTCTCTTCAGGACACTAATATATAAAATCTTCACCCCACAGAGTTATCGTTCTAGTGTTAAGTTGCAAATGAAGTGGAAAATCTTCTGTGATAACAAGCGTAATAGTAAAGCAATTGGATTGGGGGCTTTGTGCCCTCTTTTTTGTGTCTTACAAGAAATGATTACTTGTATGAAATGGAGTATATTTTCTTCTTTTTTGTGTCAGTTGTATGAATTTTATTTTATACAGATGGTGGTTATTACATTAAGCTTGTTCATGTTCTCCCCTAAAAACACTAGCAGTAATATTACAGGTGATGTGTTGGTTTGTACCCTTTATTTCATAACAATATAAGATGAAATTACCCTTCTGCTGGAAATTGCATATTTTCTATCTATCTCCTCCCTTAACGTTACCAGATTGTATTAATCATAAATGTCAATGAAGTCTCCAGATGACTTCCTGACTTTCGACAAAAGGCCTTCATCTCAGCCTCTTAAATTCCAAGGTCAAGGGGAATGTAGCATTCGGAATAATTATTAGCATTATTTTACCTTGACATTTCAGCCCTGCTTTCAGTTTAGCATTCGAACCAGGCAGTGGAGACGAATGTCATCTTTCAATTCACAGGAGGGAATTACCCCAATTAAACCTGACTTTAAGGATATCTGAAGTGCTGTATTAATGTGCTGTCCTGTTTTTTTAGAAATACTTCATGAAGGAGAGAAAGTTTCATTAAAAGCATTCAAGATTTACAGTGAGCAGAACAAGCAATTTTTTAATTGTAGTTTCCCCCCTAGGCTAGGATAAATAATCAGTGCTTCTCGTTTTCAGAAGAGCCAGTGGTTCACTGCTCTAAAGATTCTTTTACCTTTTGTTTCAGCTAAAAGGTCAGAGTTATAATTTTTTCTCATCGTGAACCATTAGTGGTACCTTGTCATTGTTACGTGCATTGTTACGTGTCCGGGATCTTGCGCCCATCCTTTGTGCATGTATTTAATTAACATTTTTAACATAATATCAGGAAAGAGGGACAGAATATGTTGTTTGTTGGGTTTTTTTCCCCAGCAAAGAAAAACATTTTCACCCAAGCACAGATGAAAAGAAGACACAACCACCATGCCACACAGAACCCGGGAGCTATCTGACTTTGACTGGGTGGTGCGCTGGCAGTCTGGTTCAGTCAAACAATTTTACTTACTCATTTCCTGCAAATTTTTGATGCTTTGAGATTCTAGAAGTGTGTTTTAATAATGAGGTAAATAACTGTATAAACGTCATTCACTGTATATTGGTCAGAAAGCAGGTGCATACAGATGAATGCCAGACACCAGTTAATCTTCAGAGCTTTTTTGGTACAGTGCGGAGAGTAAATCAAGTTGTGGTGATGAGCACCACTTATTTCAGTAACTTTGTTCCAATTCAATCCTTGGCAAAGATTTGCTGTAGAGAAAAATGGAGTCACGCTGCAAAAGGATATACGAGACTGCATAACGTTAGCTCCCTGTTCCTATTAGTTGCTTTTCCTGATACACTATGCCTTTCTGTGAAACCTTGAAGATAAAATTGCTTTGCACATTTTGGACTGTAAGTCATGGCTACTCTCCAGCTGATAACAAATCGCTATTTGCATCTGTTATGATTGTGTGCCCAGTGTGTGATTTTACACAACTGCTGTGGCCCATATTGTTTCGATGGAAGTGAAATTTATTGACTTCCAGTTAAATTTGACTTTGGGACTTCACCTAATTGGAAAGTAAATTTATTGATGCTGACAAGCCTTTTTTTCTAACCTGGCGCCATGCAGATTCTTACTTGAAATGCTTTTGTCCCCAGCACAAATATGCTCTTTCTTGTATTCTTTATTTTTAAGTAGAAATCTTGCATAAATATCACATGAACATATAGTTCGCTGCACAGATATGTAATGATCTGCAATGTGTTTTTCCCCATAATTTTCCAGCAAATTTGCCATTGTTTTCTACTTAACTGCTGTTCTATAAGTTCTAAGATAGCTTATACTTAAAAGACAAATGGTGCACAAATGTTAGACTTTCTATGACAAGTTGGTTAAGCAATGCACCTCTCATTTATCATGGAAGTCCGTAGGAGTCTCAAGTCCTTTTCCAATTTCCATTTCCTTTCCTGCTTCCTCCTGTTAGATATTTAGTAAGGATAGCTGACTCATCTTCAATGAGTTTATGGCCAACAGTTCCTGCCCCAGTTTTAGTTAGCTTTCATTGACCTAAGCTGTGTGGTGATTAATTGTGCTGATAACAGAAGTGGAAGCTTCTTTCCTCCTGCCTGTCAAGCTTAACAAACACATTGAATCTGAAGAACATGGCAGAGATAGAGGATTGATACTGAACACTGTGGAAATGGCCCTGTCTCAACTAAAGATCTGGCCCATTTTGTGAAATAGAATTAAATTTATTCACTTAATACTTCATTACACAGGTGCTGCAGTAAAGCACGTATGTTGCATGCATATATACATGTAAGGATATAGAAGAAGCTGTTGCTGGTCTTTTGCATCATAATTTTTACTGAGTACTGTCTGGTGTTGGAAGGGAGTATAAAAGCATTTCATTGAACATCTATGCATTTCCTTATTTTTTTCCCTTTCCCTACATTAAAAATGTACTTTTTAATTGTATAACAATGTTTTGCCAGATATCATCTTAATCGTAGAATTGTATCATGGAATCACAGAATGGGTTTGGGTTGAAAGGGACCTTAAAGATCATCCAGTTCCAACCCCCTTGCCACAGGCAGGGACACCACTCACTAGACCAGGTTGCTCAAAGCTCCAGCCAGCCAGTACTTGAACACTGCTGGGGATGAAGCAGCCACAGCTTCTCTGGGCAGCCTGTGCGGGGGCCTCACCACCCTCACAGGAAAGAACTTCTTCCTTATATCTAATCTAAATCTGCCCTCTGTCAGCTAAAGCCATTCCCCCCTTGTCCTGTCACTATATGCCCTATAAAAAGTCCCTCTCTGGGTTTCTTGGAGGCCCCCTTTAGCTCCTGAAAGCTGCTCTAAGGTCTCCCTGGAGCCTTCTCTTCTCCAGACTGAACCCCAGCTCTCAGCCTGCCTCCACAAGAAAGGTGCTCCAGCCCTCAGAGCATCTCTGTGGTCTCATTAATGCTAATCTACCAGATAGATAGGACCCTGGAGAGTGTGAAAGAGAGATTCAGAAGAGCTGTCTGTAGCCCAGCAAAGCTGGATCCCATGTCATCCAACTGCTTTATATAACCTTTTGGGGACGGCTCCTGGGTTTTTTTCTGTATTCCTTCAGGATTACCTAACTCCGTAAAATCAGGCTTTCGCATACTAGCATCTTACTTCTGTGTCTCCCGCAAGCATGTTTCTGACACTTTTGAGTTTGAGGGCTGAGAACACAAATCTGTCACTTTCCAGTGTGCTCTTTTATTTTTGTACAAGCAGAATATATTATTTCCTAGCAATGAGCTGCATTTCATAAATTCACCTTTTCAGGAGACCATTTCTAATTTAATTAGTTCTTTGCTCAGTCCCACTTCTAAGCCCTTGGAACCTAAAGCTTGGGAGACAATTATTTCCATCCCTGAAGAGGGGTCTTTCAAAATCCCTTTGCATCTTGTGGGTTAAGTGTTTAATGTTTCAGCTGGAGATTGGTAAGCATGAGAACAGAAGCTGAATGGAAGGAAGCGTTTTCAGAGCCCATCCATTTTAAATAGATTTGGCCCCAAACTTTCTTATTTTTCTTGTAAATTATATTCAGAGTTTGCAGTGAAGAGGAGCTAGAGATTATTTTTCCCCCTCTCAACTGGAATAAATACAGGAGTGCCTGGCTGATAATGGATCTGCAGCCACACAACTCCAAGGCCCTTATTGTCTGTGGTTTTCATTAAGTGATGTATGTCTTCACAGTAATGCAGAAATGCTAACAAAGGAGTGCTGTTAAGTGTGAAGGAGCAAATAGATTCAGATCTATTTTTGGAGTCAAACAAATTTTCTTGGAACATAAAAAAATAAGAAATTACTCCATGCTGACAAGAAGTCCTAAAAACTCAGACTGAGTTAATTTATGTGTGTGTACACACACAGACAGGTATCCTGGTCTGGCTTTTTAGTTTGAGACTGTTATAAAAGTGATTGAAAACAAAGGGAGTTGTTTGGGAGCACTGCTTCAGTGAATCAAAACTATTAGGGATTTTACTGTTGTGAAAACAGGGTTTATTTAATGGGCCTCTCCAAAGTTTTTCTTTCCTCTGCCTCCAAGCCAGAGTGGACACTGGCATGTGAGATGATTGCAGGCTGTGAGTTTTCAAAGAGGTTTAAAGTAACAAGACCACCCCAGTTGCTTTGCTAATGCTGCTGCTGCTGCCCTTAGAAAGAATTCAGCAAAGTAATTGAGGAGACTTGTTCAGGAAGCAACTTATGAACATTTCCTTTCCCGAGAGCTCTTTGGTCAAGGACATGAAAGCAAACGTAGCTGAAAGAAATCTAGTAAAAACCTAAGTGTAATGGCATTGATTTTCTGATTTGTGTTTTTCTGTTGTTTTCTTTCCTCTTCTTTTTTAATACATCCTCTGTGCTTTTTCTAACAAATTACAGTATTCCACCCGCTGCCTCAGAAGTTTAAAAAAACCCAATTGAGCAATTAAACAGGTTTCCAGAAGCTTTGGTTACAAAGCCATTGTGCTGCATGGAGAATATGCTGGCAACAAACAACTGATGTAATTTAATGAGGTGTAACTGAGTAATCTGGGGCATCCAGCAGGTTTTTGCTATAAGGGGCTACATCAGAAGGCCCTTCAAACAAGTACCCTGTTAAATGGCATTTGGAGTTGTCTTTGCAGAGCACTTCTGAAATGTGTTGTGCTGATGCTGGTCTGTGGGCCCTGATTTCCTGCTTTTCACCCATTTATTTAATTAGAGGAAAACTGAGCCAGAGGGTAAGTGACTCTAAGGTCTCATACTTTCTTTTCATACTGTATTACTTACAAAGAACTTGAACAGGGAGGTGACCTTGCTTGTAATTGAAACATTCCTTATTCTTATTTAATATGAGCAAAAATCTCATCTATTATATTCACATACTCTTAGAATTATGAGCCTTTAGATTTGGATCCTTCTGTAAGGAAAATTGTGTCCATCTTCCATTGCAGAAATGGTTATCAAGTTTCCTGAATTCATGTCTCATTACAGAAATAGCGCTATTTCAAGAGAAGTTAATGTTGCACAATTTGCGACACTGTTTATGTACTCTTTCTATGGGTCTGAAAACATCTGTGATGTGATTATTAAAAGAACAGTAATGGCCACCAAACTGAAAACAGGAAAACAGAACATTTTTTTGCTTTTATTTTTCAAAGACTAACTTGAAATGCGTCAACACATACAGGCCATTTCTCCAGTCTGAATTGCAATAAGGTCCATTTTTTCACATCAGTGGTATGCGAAATGCCCTGGCTCTGAACAAGCCTCCCCTGCTTTTGGATGACCAGGTGTTTAGAAGAGCCCTTCCTAGAAATTAAGTCCAGTGGGTCAAGCCTGCTGTGGTCTTCCCCAGAGAAAGACCTCTCCCAAGAAAATGCCACTGCAGAAGAAAGGCTATGTTAATTGGTGTGGTTTAAGAATATTCAATTTAAAAAAAATTGGTTGCTTTTACTAATATGGAGATATATCTGGGAGAAGGTTTAGGTTTTTGCTTTATTTTGGGTTCAGGTTTTTTTTTTCTCCTAATGCCTCAGTTGGTGAGATAACAAAGAGCTGTAGAGATGCTGCAAGAGTGGTGCTGCAGCATAAGCAATGGGTGGGTACTTTGAGTGATCCCCGAGATGCCCAGAGTACTACTTGAGGGTGGCCTGCGAGTCAGCACCCACATCCACTGCCCTCCCAGGCGAGCTGCTGGGCTCAAGGCTGTGCTCTCCACCAGCCAAGGAGGAGTGAGGCAGCAACCCAGGAATTTCCAGGGAATTGAAAAATACAAGTTAAATCTATAGTGCATATTACTGGCTGTTAGTATAGTGTGTGTATGTGTGTGAGGGTAGGGAAGGGGTGTACTGGAAGCTTCCTGTGTCCCATGCTTTTTAACTCCTGCCAGGGTGCCTGTGATTGAAAAAGGGGCTGCTGCTTCCTTGAAATCTTGGGAGTGTGTAGGAGAGAAGAGACAATAGGCCTCTATTTCAACTGAAATCACTGCAGTGAGTGAGGATGGCACTTCCAAAGTATCAGCAGCTGTTGAAACACCCATCATACCAAAAGGCAGGTAGCTAATGGGAGTGTTCTCCACAAAATGTAGTTTTTAGTTCCACTAATACAGGATCTGTTTGATCAGTTTGCTACAATAAT